CAATGTAGTCGGGGCGGCAGCACCCCAAATGTGTGAGCAATACTCGAGGCTAGGCCTTATCTGGGCCTTGTATAGAGTGAGAAGGTCATGCGGAGAAAAGTACTTCTTAGCCCTAAACAAATAGCCTAGCTTCTTCCCAGCAGCTGCAGCTATTGAAGAGATGTGTTCGTGCCAGATCAGGACCTCGGTGATCTTGACTCCGACCAGCCGAAATGAATGGCTCTTTGGTAGAACTCGACCGTCCATCGAAACTGTATGAGCGCTAGGACGCTTTTTGTTCGTCAAAGTACAGTACTGGGTTTTGGAAGCATTGAACTGTACAAGATTGTTGCGTCCCCAAGCAGTGGTAGCCTCCAGGTCTCTTATTAGAGAAGAAGTCGTCGCTAGTCTTCTTTTTTCCAGCTCAGCGGCAGACATCGGCTTGTCACTCTGAATTCCTGCATGTAGAGTGCTGTCATCAGCGAAGCTGTGGATTGGGTTGATCGTGCAGGAAAGGAGGTCGTTGATATGTAAGAGAAACAGTGTTGGAGCCAAGACCGATCCCTGGGGAACACCCGCGTTGACGTTGTGGGATGAAGAGGAGAATCCGTCAATTACGACGGATATCTTGCGGCCAGAGATAAAGTCAGCCACCCATCTGCAAAGCTTTTCTGGGAGGCCGTAGGATGGAAGTTTGCTTAAGAGGGCAGCGTGCCACAGGTGATCGAACGCTTTCGTGATGTCAAGAGCAACGACATGAGCCTCACCATGAGACTGGATGAGTTTACTCCACAGTTGCGTGACGTAAGCTAGGAGGTCCCCTGTGGATCGTTGGTGCCGGAAACCGTACTGCCTGTCGCTAATCAAGCTGTGACGTTCATCAAGCTGTGACGTTCGAGGTAGTCTAGAAGCTCGCGATTTATGCACCTCTCCATCACTTTACTTATAACAGAAAGCAGAGCTATAGGCCTGTAGTTGTAAGGGTCGGTTTTAGATCCTTTTTTTGGGATGCGCTGTACATGAGCAAATTTCCAGTTTTCTGGGAAGGTGCCGGTTTCATAAGATATCTGGAAGATACGCGAAAGAACTGGAGCAAGCTCCGCTGCACATCTCTTCAGTACAATGGCAGGAATCAAGTCCGGACCAGAAGCTTTGCTGATGTCGAGCGACAAGAGCACTCGTCTTACGGTCTTATGCCTGAACGTTACCTCCCGCATAGTGTGGGGAACCCTTTGGATTGACGGCACTTGGGCGTTGGTGGAGTTGGCAGCAAAGCTCTTGGCTAGCACTTCCGCCTTGGCCTTTGAGTCGAATACAATAGTTCCATCCTGACACGTAAGTGGTGGAAGGCTACTGTGTGAGAAGTTCTTTTCAATCTGCTTGGCCAGCGTCCAGAAAGACCATTGCGCTGCGACATTACCCTGTGCCTAACTTTTATATCATGCTGGTTTTTGGCATTGCGATCCGCTTCGTTACATTTGTTTCTGGACTCGACGTCGGCTTGTCTGTTCTCTACAGTGGGGTTTTGTAAGTAGGATCTGTGGGCCTTGATCTTCTGCTGGCGAGCAGTGTCACACGATTTGTTAAACCAGCCGTTATTGAAGAGCAGACAGTCGACGCATCCGCGTGAGTGAAACAGACATCTCTCCAAGGAAAGCTAGAGAAGAAGTCTCTGAGCCCCTCCCAGTTGGCATGTCCGTAATGCCAAGTTTTGCGGCCTGTGCGAGTTTCTGCTGCGACAGTGGCTTCTGACCGAAACCTAACCTCCACAACACCGTGATCTGAGTTACCCAGGGGGACATTATGGGCATTGAAGTCACCGAGAAGAACTTCCTCTGAAGGGGGGTGAATGATGTTCAGGAAGTCGATCTGGACGGCGAGGTATTCGAGTAGCTCATTCCAGTTATGGTCCGAAGGAGAGCGATAAAGGCAGCAAATAAATTTGGGTGATGTTCTGGAGTTGAGACGAAGTCACAGAATGTCCTTCTGGTCTGATTCCAAAGAAACATCTCTGGAGGAGGAAATACTGCTGCCGACAGAAGCCACAACGCCCCCGTTCTTTCTCAGATTGGAGTGTACTTAGTAGTTTGGAAAGTTGAGATGGTTAATCGGTGCAGTCTCTGAGATTTTTGTCTCCGCCAAGAAAAGCACGGCGGGACGATTGGATTGCAGGTAGTGGTGAACAGCGTCAATGTTGCTGTTGATCCCGCAGATGTTCGAAAAACAAATTTTATCTTCCATGTTGTTCCCTCGAGCCCACCCTCCACCCGGACATTCCGAGAGTGGAGAGGGAGTGATCATAAATAATTAAAAATGCATCGAACCTTAAAAATCGAAATATCTCAAAAACGGCTAACTATAACGAAAATTCACAACAGAGCGTTTTATGTTGAAAAGTGCGAAGAATCATTTTTTTTTGTTCAAAAAGCAAAAAATTGTACTAAGAAAAATCTTTCGGTCGTTTTAATACACTACATGTACAGTAGTAAGCGCCGTCCAGCGGCTACAGTAAAACTATGCCCATGGTTCGTTTTGTCGTACCAAAAAACCCTTGTATACCAATTTTCACTGTTATACATCAAATATTGTTCGAAATATTTAAAAAAAACTACTTTAGAAAGTAAATTTAAACACCCTGTATTTCGGAAGCCACGCATTTTTCGACCCATGTTTATATAGACTTTATGCATTAATTTTAAAAGTTCTATCGAATCTTAAAGTTATGCAACAATAAACTGAAACACCCTGTATAGAGTGTCCCAGCGAAAATGGAAAGTTGTTTTACAGGAAAACTGTCAAACGGCTTCCGCAGCAAACTTGTTGCTTATATGGTAGTGTATATTTATATTATTTAAAAACAAATTTACAGGTCCTTGTACCAGTTCATGATACAATAAACATGTATTTCCTTGTTAATAAAATACCCTATGTTTGAGCTTCGCCATTCTGCGTAATTTTCCATTGATTTTGCGATGATGCGGGAAAGAGACGCCATATGTAACCCGGACTACGAAATGTTCTGACAATATGGTCCACTCACACAGGGTGTTACAAGACGTAAAATGAAGTTTCTCTCAAAAAAAATTGAACACAATGTATGCTTTTACATCGTCATATTTGGCTTTCCGTATCAGGTTTATTTGAATAGCTATCTTTCTAAAAAAACAAGGAAATCGGAACTAACTCCACCACATGGTATCATCCACGGAAAAAGTTACTCTCCACGGCACTGTAATTAGGCCAGAGCTACTATATTCCATAAGCTACTTTAAGATATTTGCACATGAAAAATTCACTCTTAGAACCATGCTTCAATTTCTTTCTTAGTTTCTACTAGGGTGTAGTTGCCAAGAGCGCCGAGGTTCTATCTAACTTGATGAGCCAAATGAAATAATTTCATAATATACCTGCTGGGTCAAATAAGCAGTCGCTAGAATATTAAAAATATCACCTAAATGTTTTGATTAGCCTGATGTAAGAATTGTGTTTGAAGCTTTTGTCATAAAATCCTCACAAAGATAATTTATTTGATTGTGCTAGTGATAACATTAGTTATATTAATATTATTAATTTATCATGTGAACACATCTGGAATTATGGTACCCCACTGTATGGAGATTTTTAAGCAGTAAGTTGATTATTAATTAAGTACACTGATACAAGCCTTACATTAAATGAAAGCCTATGAAAAGGCAAATCCGATAGGACAAAAATATTTAGGCTGTTCCATTTTATTTTTTAGTGAGAAAAAAAGTTTTCGTTTCTCAAAACCCTGTATAAGCAGATCATGAAATCAGCAATTTTCACACCCGTCTAAAATTGGCATACTTTTATACTCTCCCTCCAAAACTTAACTATTTAAAATGGTGACATTTGGAGCCTTCAAAGATGTCAAACAAATGACCAAATAAAACAAGTGACGATCAAAACCCCATCGTTTTTGTTTTGGAAAAGTATTTTCGAATGTCTAATAAGATAAAAGCTATTCTATTGAGAAAAAGGGTTTTACTTTTATATCTGCAATTGACGAGCGAAAGTTTGACACTGACGCAGTGGCGGATAAATGGGGAGGGTAAAAGTGGTGATCACCTCCGTAACCCGAGAAAACGGAGCGTATGAAATGTCACTCAAGAAGAAAATGGGTGCAGGCTGGATTAGCCTAAGGTTCGAGTTTTTTTTTCTCTTGAGCTTACTCTCCAATTATTATCCGACGAAACATGTATTGTTCTGAAGTCATAAAGGAGAAATAGTACTAACTATTATGTCGATCTAGACAGAGTTCCCCAAACTTTTTTGTGTCGTAGACCCCTTGCCATGTTTTTCCGTGTTGGATAGACCCTACTTACCTGCTATTGATTTCCTGTAAATTTCTAACTGTAGTGAAGTTTTGTGTTAAAAACTTAAAGTAAAAACACATGTTAATTTATACATTTATTGATTGAATTTAAATTAAAACTACTCAAAATAAAATTTTGTATCTGTGATGTAAAATATACGTAACAGGTGTCTGACCAATAAGTGCCCGCATTGGAAATAAGTGCCCGCATTGAAAAAAAAAGAGGGATAAAATAAAAAAAAAGCGAAAAATAATAAAAAAAAAGTTTTTTACTTAAAATAGTACAATAAGCGAGTTCGTTTATTAATTATAACATAAACGTATGTTCTACAATAATTTCACTGTTAGTTTGATTAATTTCCGCTTCTTATACGTTTAAGTTATCTAAAAATAGGCAAAAAATTAACGAATTTTAGTGTGTACCTATCCTCGAATTTTCAGAATGATTTAAAAAAAATATTTTCTATAGAGGGGGGTTCTTTAAAAAAATCAATGCGGGCACTTATTCCCAATGCGGGCGTTTATTGGTCAGACACCAATAAACATAAAATAAACTAATAATAAAATAACATAAGCAATAAGTCAATATTTTTAGTGAGCAGGATGAACCTGATGCTTTAATAATAAATTATCAACATTTGGCGTCAATTTTGTAAGAGTTAATCTTAAATCTCCTCGGCTAATGATGTCCAGTCTGTTTCATTTTTTCGTTAGGAGATTGGTAACAGCGCTGAACCCTCTTTCCATTAGGTATGACGATGGAAAGGAAATTAAACATTTCCTCGCTATATTTCAAAATACGGGATAAGTAACGGGTATGTTGTTTTGCAGCCAGAATTGCTGATATTCGTTTTTAAACTGAACCTTAAGTTCTTCGTTTGTACTTTGTTCAGTCAGTTCCTCTTGTATTATGACATTCGTTTCTTCTATGTCACCATATGGATTAATTATCCACGGTGGTATTACCATAGTCAAAATATCCTCAAACCTAGATTCAAAATCTGAATAGAGGGCATTTAAATGTTGAACGTAAGTTGAAACGTCGTCTTCCTGGTAGCTTGTCTGTGACAAATTGGGGAACTGAGAAAATTCGCCCCGTCCAATATTTTGCTTCATTAGTTTAACTCTGGCAAGAAACGCTGATAAGATGGACATTGTTTTAATCAAATTAAAACTGTCGCCTTGTAATTGCAAATTAACCATATTAAATTTTGTAAACAAATCTGTTAAATAGGCGATGTATGTTTTCCTCTTCATTAAATTTTCTTTTAAAATTTTATCTTTAGTATCCAGAAATTCTAAAATAGTCTCAAAAAGTGCAAAAAAACTTGTCAAACATAGGCCTTTCGACAGCCACCGTACTACAGTGTGAAGGAGTAATTGATGAAAGTGTTCGTCATTTTCTTCACACAACTGCGCAAATAACCGCGTATTCAACGCGTTGCTTCGGATTCGGTTTACTGCATCAATGACTAAATGAAGTGATTCATGCAATCTAACACTCAAATTTTTAGCAACTAAATGTTGTCGATGGATGACGCAATGTATTGCTAACACCCCTGACACATTTTGTTTTAAATAGCTTATAAATCCACGATAACGTCCAACCATGGCAGGTGCTCCATCTGTAGCTACTGATATTATATTATAAGGAATTGCTTTTTCAATGAAGTAATCCTTCAAAACATGAAATATTGATTTAGTGTCGGTTATCAAAGTTCTTGCGAAGAGCAGTTCTTCGTAGATTTCTTGATTCATAATAAAACGAACATATGCCAATAATCATGCTGCATTATCAGGTAAAGTTGACTCGTCCAGTTGAATAGAGAAATGAGTCGTTTGCAAATAATTACATAAGAAGCTTTTCATCAATACGTCTTTCAACAGTATTGTTGTTTAAGGGAATTCTTTTAATGATATCATATGCAGGTTTGTGTAAAACAGTTTTCAAAACCTCTTTAACGGCTGGCAAAATTAACTTCTCTCCGATAGTATGCGGTTTTCCGGATTTTGCTATAAGTAACGAGATATTGTAAGCCGCCCGCAAACCATCATCATTTCTTTGTGACGTCGAAGCGAACATTCTGTCCAGTGTAGGCCTCTTCTGAAATTTATCTTTGGGTGTTTGAAAGTATTTCAAATCTTTCTCTGTTTTATCAGGGTGGCATCTTCTCAGATGATCTTGCAGTTTAGATGGTTTCATAGCGTCATTGTCCAAAACTTTGTTGCATAAAAGGCACATAGGCCATTGTTTGTCCGGCAATTATGGAATGAAGCCAAATTTCAAATAATCAACACTGTACTGTCTACATTTCTTTTTAGATTCGGACATGGCATCAGTCATCTGTGGGCAAAATTAAATTGTTTAAATAAGACAGAAAATCCAGCAGCTGTATATTAAAAATATTTTTTGATTTTTCCGAAAACATTCCATAATTCGAACATCTTCTTGCAACAATTAGCTTGAATTACGGAGATTGCACTGTAATTATATTACCGATTGCTAAAATTTTCAACAAGAAACTATTGAGGAGTACTCGTGTAATTTTGCATGATTGAATATTTAACTACTAATAACTAAAGTCATGATTGGCGTAATCTATCTATCCTTGCTAACTACGAGTACAAAACTAAAATTTAATAAAAAATAATGTACTTACTTTTCTCCAGCACTCTCAAACAAAATAACATTTACTCACTATAAATTATGTGATAAACTATCTGTTTATATTTTTTAAAATATTTTCTTAGCACTTTCCTTTTCAAGATTCAGGAAACGAATAAACGTATTTGTCCCACATTCGTATTTATAGAGTGACGAATTGAACAAGTCAGTGCAAGGTAGCGAAGTTCTGAGACTGCGACTCTTAGGTTTTTACAAGTTCAAAATGTATTGCGACCACAAAGCGAATACCAACATCCTACAACTTACACAATTTTATAAACATATATAATAAATTTTTTACTTCATAGGTACTTTTATAAATAATGTATATGTTTTGATATTATAAGATAGTATGATGTAAGTAAATAGGTCCTATCAGTGTATGTGTTGAGATCCACTATCGTGGACCCCCATATTTATTTCATGGACACACAAATTTTTTTTCGCTGACGTAGGCCCCTTGCAGGTTGTCATAGACCCCTAGGGGTCGATACAGACCACTTTGGGAATCAATGATCTAGAGTATACGCCCCCATCGCTCCACTTCAATTGAAGACATGTATCCGCCCCTGCACTCAGGGGATCCCAGATGGCAGGAGGTATCGCATTAATATCCAAGTCGAATTACAGATGTATTTGGATGCATTAATATACAAGTCGAATAACTGATGGATTTGGATGCTGCTCAAAACTTTATTCATTATATCATTTCAATTGGCGGGAGTAGGTTTATCCTTAGTAGAGTGAAGTAGGTTAATCGTGACACACGATTGATTAAATAAATATATAAGACTTTTTACTGCACCCGAGACCGTTTTTCTTATACTAACCGCCAGTTCATTTTATCTCTCCTGTAATCCTCTGAGAAATTTCTTTTATCCATTGAAATCCTTATTTTGTACTTCCATTTGCTTCTAGGTCTACCTCTTCTTATTATTCTTTAAGAAATCCATTCAAAAACTGTGACTGGTAATATTTCTAGTTTCACCCTTTGCATATGGCCGTACCTGTTCCTTTTCGATCTCGTCTGTGAATGCATTTTCTACTTTCATCCATTGACGTAGTGTACTTTGTATAGGTATGATCCATTTAGGTAACATTACATCTTCTGTAGTAATTCTTTTCTACCGTTTCATTGAGGGTCTTAACTTCGGAGCAATAACAGCTTTCTGACAACGACTAAAATATATAGATTTTCGGACCGCTGCTGATACGTTTGTTCCATATAAGCGAATTTAACCTACTTGTTATGAATCTCCCTCTAAATGCCCTGGTTACAATGTCTCTATCGGCTTTTCCGTCGTCAGTAATTGCGTTGCCCAAATATTTGTATACTTTGTTATATTGCTATTTATTACCAAATCCGTTCCTTCACATTTGTCTGCCATATATTGACCTTTGTCCTACATTCACCTTCAAGTCTTAGTCACTATATTCCTTTTTAATCGTTCTAATCATATATGAGGCATGATCAATGTCTTGTGACTGAAGCACTTAGTTTGCAACGAATAATTAAGTGTGAATAATTCGCTCCTCTCTGTGGGCACCCGTATTGCTACATTCCTTTGTCCATCTATCTAAGGTGGTATTCATATACAGACTAAACAGAGTGGGCGAGAGACAACAACCTTGTGAGAGATAGATTTACAGTAAAAAATTCAGAATATTTCATTCTAGTCTTTATACAGCTTAGGTTATCTTCTCAAATTGCAATCCATACTTATTAACTGAAAGGCTATCTTATGTTTCTTTGAGGGCCAGTTTCACCCACATTAATATTTAACGGTCCCTTGAACCAAAGGGAAAATACCTTATCGAAATGTAATTTGACGGAAGCTGTCAAAGCTCTCTGAATATCAGTGATTTCTATTGATGATTCGGTATAAGATCAATGGTAGATCAAGGACCTTTGAGTCATGAAAAACGTCTGTTATTGTATTGGGCGCGCACACAACATGTTTTTTGTAGCCATAGTTCTATATTACAACCTCTACAATGTGCATACTGGTCGCTCTTTCAAAGTACTTTGTATCCATTCTGGAAACTGCTTTTTCGATTCTTGCTTATGGGGTTGTGAATTTTATTCTGTTTTAAAATAGACAGGTCTCCGTTTCTTTATTGCTTGTCCGGTGATGAGGTAATGACGGTAATCTACCAGTCTGTACCTTTTGTATGCACAAAAATCAATTCAGGGCAAGCGGAGTAAGGAATGAGAGTGTGTGTTCGTAATCATAGGCAACCCAAATCTACGCCTCCCAGGTGCCCAGCTGCCTGAGTGTGTATGCATATGTATGATTGATATGGCGCATAAAACTATGAAGACTACATAGAATCAACTTTTAGCTTTATATTTGGTTTAAGCTCTTTTTAGGCAAGTATAGAAATATTTATATTATTTTGAAAAATTGTGGAGAATGATGTTATCGATAAATATTCTCTTTTCGATGAAAATACCGAAAAATCCAGTTCAAGTTCATGCATAGACAATCTGAAATTTGCAATATGAATGTATATCCTAAATTCTATACATATCCGTTCATATTCGTTAATATTTGATTTGAAGCTTTTATTTGTCATAAAATTTTAGCAAAATATAAAATAGTAAAGGCAACACCTGCAGCCCAGTTGACAAGAACGACAAGCTGTCAAGATTAGGGATGTGTAGACCCACGAAAAGTATCGATATGTATCGATTCTTATCGTTTTAAGAAGTATGGATACTCTAAAATATTGGAATAAAATTATCGATATCCAGCGGAAGGAAACAAAGAAGAAAAGTAATCTGCAGTTAGTCACTCTTTCTGACACGGTTCGGATCGGAAGATGACGATACTCGTGGAATGTATTGATACACCCAAGGTTATATTTAAAAATATCGATCCAAAATATCGGGTATGGGTAGCGAAAGTATCGTTACTTTTAAATATAGGATCGTATCGAACACCCCTACTGTCAAGATGTATAACCCGAGGTACCGACGGAGCTATTTTGCGGCGCTATGGGAATAATTTTAAATTTTCATTTGCATTTTTTCATGTCTTGTGCAATGATTTTGGGAGAAATTCCACGTATAGTCTTATAAAGCATAGTAGAGTATAGTTCAACACTTGGCGGAGCTTACTCTGCTGGGACCAAGGGTTGACGGATCCCACACATGTGGCACTCTTTAAAGAGAGTAAAATGTAATAATCAGCTGTTATTCAAATAATGTTTAATATAAATATAACCTAGAATGTGAGCTCAGTGAAACAAGCAAGTTATCGCAAATTCTATTTTTTTGCAAGTTTAAAGTTTGCCGGTAGCTTTACAACATATATTTGAGTATTTCTTAATCGCTGTAAATATACTGTGGATGTATGTTAAGTTCCTGAGCAACCAAAAAATGTTTGACTATGAATGTATGGATATAAAAAATTCTGAATGGTTTTGTGGGAATATCAATCGACGGTGCTATAATGGTACTGGTGAATGGCAAGAAAATGAATGAATATTTGGAAAAGAGCAATATCTATGAAATTTTTGGTAGAGCCTGTCATCAAGCAGGTGCTTAATGGCTATCTGCAAGAGGTTTAAAGGAAAAGAACACACGGTAGGTGATGTTGAATCAGTAAGATCACATATTAATTGAATAAAGTAATATAGACATGAATAAACAATCGACAGTATTAAGTAAAGACATTAATTTGATTAAAAAAATTCTACACTTTTTTAAATTGTGACTAAATTGTATGTAATTTCTTAATATTCAAAAGGCTAGTGATGTTTCAATAACAAGCTATCATCTCATACTTTGACAGTATTTTGTTTTCAACCTTCCATAGCTATTGCTGGCTAAAATTTGTTGATTGGAACTTGAAGCTCATTAGCTGTATTTGACGGACTGTTACCCTATAGGTGGAGAATAACGGACTGTTGATTTGACGATCCTGGTCAGATCCACCGTAAATCTATGAATAAAAGATGGAAGCCATTGCCTACTCCAACTATTGTCTAAGTACAACAAGTTATCAGTATAGGGTCTCTCGGGTCGTAAACCACTCCGTTTCTTGTATTTATATTTCAATACTTCTCCAGAACACTCTTCCATACATTCTGCATGTAGAAGCTGATACACTTAAACCTCTGTAGTTTGAATAACCGTTTTTGGTACCTTTCTCATAATGAGCTATTATGTGTTATCTTCCATACTTCTGGTACTGGTTCTCCCTCTAAACATTTATTAAAAATTGTTTTTGTATTTTCCATTACTACATCTGGTGCGTGTTTATACAGATCTACAGGTATACCTCCACGACCAGTTTTTTCATATGCCTTAAAGCTTCTTTGATTTCCGAAACCGTGAACATTCTCTTCATCTTCTGGTGAATGCGTAACTTGTCTAAGTTCAGCTCTAATATCTGACCTTCACAGTACTATAGCCATTGGCGTTGTCCAATAGGATCAATTGACAACGTTTGGTATATGCTTTTGTTCAACGTTTTAATTGTTTGCCATGCGACTCTGGACTCTTGTGCAGTTTCTTTCAGAATAAGATTTTTTAATTTATATTACTCCTTATCCCACCAGATACCAATACGTTCATCTTCCTACTTCCTGAGTCTTTGGAAGCAAACCATCTTAGATAAAGTTGTTTATTGCTTTGTATAAGAGTTTCCTTGTGCCTCGTGCCACCAGCAATCGTAATTTTTCGTTGTTGGTTAAAATACGTTGGCTCAACACGATACAATATATTTATTATCCATCAGACAAGCAGCGTTTGTGTATGATTTATCATTTAAACATACAGAGATCTGTATAAATAGAATATATCAACACATTAAAAGCAAGTAAAATATTCAAAGTGATATATGAAATGCAACACCCAGAATTATATATTGAATTTTGATATGGACTTGTAAACATATTTGCTATAATGGAAGTATGCGTTGAT